CGGTCTTTTCAACCCTAGGTACAATTCTAGACAGTTCTGAGTGATTTCTTCAGTCAAGTAGTCTTGGATATCCTGCCTGATAGATCACTTTCCCATTAGAACATATCCTTTCCAGCCTGGAGACCTCTGCTGACATCTGACAAACTGGATTCCGGAGGTAGTTTTACTACTGCTCCCTACTCATCCAGTTAGGCATAATATTGGTCATTCGACAACCTAAGCAGAGCAGATGACTTAGCAAGGTGCTTCAGGGAGCCCTTCTACCATTAAAATTCCTGTGGATGGACAGATGGGTGGATATTTAATAAAGCAAGTGTTAATGGTAGAATCTAGGTGGTGGGTATATATGGATGTATGATATTTTAAACTTTGCTATTTTTAAAGAAAATTTTTGTAATGAGATGTTGGAAAAAAGAAAAAAAAGTCCCTTAAAGGTGTCTGGTGCTGAGGTGTTCAGCACTAGCTCTTATTCTGCCAGGTTTTTAGAGAAGCAGGTAGCCTAGAAAGGGGAATAGCAGTGAGTGGCAGAGCAGGTCAAGTCTCAGAGATCTTTGAGGGAAAAAGTCAAATTTAAGAATAATGCATAAAGCAGGATGCCATTTATGTAAAATAAAAATTAAAAACAATTGTAAGTAGTTATATGTGCAGATAGTGTGTGTAGTATCAAAAGAGACCGGAAGGATACACACCCCACTCTCTCAGGAATTACCTCTAGAAGGCGGCCAAAAAGATTTTACTCTTATATGTCATGCTTAAAAAACTTTGTGGGAGATGTAGCCATGTATTACTTGTATAATTAAAATTTAATTTAAAAAGAGAAAGTAAGCTGGAACATTGGTTTGGAGGATCCAACGGATTTCTTTTGAATTTTAGCTCAGTTACGTACTATATCTTTGGACAAGCTAACCTCTTTGTGTCTTTTTTTAAATATTTTTAAAATTTATTTATTTTGAGAGAGAGAATGAGAGACAGAGAGCATGAGAGGGAGGAGGGTCAGAGGGAGAAGCAGACTCCCCGCCGAGCAGGGAGCCCGATGCGGGACTCGATCCCGGGACTCCAGGATCATGACCTGAGCCGAAGGCAGTCACTTAACCAACTGAGCCACCCAGGCGCCCTAACCTCTTTGTGTCTTAATTGCCTTATTTGTTAAGTGATTTAATACTATTTTTATAGAATTATTTTTTTGAGGATGAAAGTGTTATATAAAATGACTGGTACCTAGTGGACACCCCATAAGTAGTAACTGTTATTAGTACTGAGCCTTGAGTACAGAACTTCAGGGCTATATTCATGGAGACACAATTAATGTCTTAATAAGTGACTTGTACCTGTGAGGAATACAAACTGCAAAGCCCAGAAACCGACAACAGTGGAGTAATGACCAGCCTTGGGCATAAGGGATTCCTCCATCAATTTGTGCCCAATAGTCTTTTGTAGAATGTGGTGGTTCTAACACAATAAGCAAAGAGTACCTCACTGCAGTCTATGACCTTGTGGTAGAGAGTACCTCTGACTCGGTGATACATTCTTGGTAAGAAATAGGAGTTTATGCTCCTGATAATCCATGAATATGGTTGTACAAGTCAATCGATATTTGTTTGACATTCTAGGAAGTGTTATCAGGCTGAGAAAGACTTCTTGGAAAGAACTCATATTTCTTAGACAAAAAAGAGACTCAGCAGGTCATATACGGGAGAATATGGGAGAAAGTAATTCTCCTCAGGAAGGCGTTGTGACCAAATATGCCATGAATTGCAATATACCAGAGAGGATCTCTGGTAAAATATTAACGGGTCAGAGGTTGATCCTGATTCCACATTTTTTCTTTCACTTTGATATCCAAATGTGTTAAACTACAGAAGAGATTCTAAGAATTGGTACAGCTACTTCATTCATACTTGGATTACTGAAACAGCTTTCTATGATTTCCTTTCTAGTCTATGTAATGCCACCCATTTTCATATTAAAAGCAAATAACCCCTTCTTAAAATCATATTAATAGCTTCTAATAGAAGAGCATTCTGGAGATGTCTTTGCATCCTGACCCTTCTTGCTCTAAAGAACACTACCCCACAGGAATGGGCCACAGCAGCATGTTTGTGTTAGTTGACCTTACTTGCCTAGGCAGAGGTGAACATCTGACACAAATTCAGCCCATCTGGAGTTGAGATGGAGACACACTAGGCTGGTTGCTGGAACTGCAGCAGTGTACAGCTGGAATATGGAAGCCATGCGTGTTAGATAGGCAGAGGTGAGACTATGGTCCTGATAGCTGTCTTGTTCTTGGACCAGGCCCCTTTGAAGCCCAGCTGTGTTCTTGCTCTTGGATTCTAGGCGATTTTCCTGCATCCATATGATAATCTTCTATTCCCACCCTCATTTCATTTTTTCGTGAGCTAGTTTGGGATTTTGTTACACCGAAATAAAACAGCTTTGACTAAGACAGCCTTTAGGATAAAAATCAAACACTTTAACATGGTCTGCAATGTTCTTTATGATCTGGTGTCTACCTTCACCTCCATTCTACCTCTGGCCTCTCTTAATCAGCACCACACATAACTCAGCCCTGACTGGTCTCCTCCCCTCACTTAAGTCCTTTTTCTCAGACAAGAAACCGTGATAACCTTCCCAGCCTGTGAGGTTCCCTTCTTGTGTACTGGTTATACTGGTATTATGGCTGGTGGTTTACTTGTCTCTCTTCTACTGACTTTATGTCAATGTAGTCAAGACTAGGTCTTCCATTTGTTAGTGCTATGCTTGTGCTAAACCCTTAAAAGATACCAGTAAATAGTTGGGCGCCTGGGTGGCTCAGTCGGTTAAGTGGCTGCCTTCCGCTCAGGTCAGCTGTGAGTTGATAAGGAAATGCCAACCTCTCTAAGGCAGTCTCTTGAGCCACAACCACATCCCGGGCCAGCAGTCCTTAGGATTTTTACATAAAAGAAGGCCTGCAAAACAGTTTTACCTTAATAGTAGCCAAAGCTCATGGAAGGACTTGCTTGCAAACAGCTCTCATAAGCGGGTCATCCCTGTTAAACTTCAACTTGGAAAATGGTTGCCTTTAGAATTTTCCAATGCTTTATAGAGTCACTGATTCTTACATTTGTAGGAGTCTTAGCCATGTTTCACTGAGTTCCTTGAGGATCAATAAAAAGTCTACTAATCACGAAATGCTTACTAAGTGCCTAATATCCCAAGCCAATGTTACAAATGGTTTACACAGTATGTCCTTTAATTCTCATAACCCTATCATGTAAATAGGTTTTACCTCTGTAGTAGTCTGACTCCAAATCCTAACGCTCTGTAGCACTTCACTATAGTAGAAGGTTCAGTTTTCATAATCTAGTTTTTACATCAACACTGTGTAGTTAGTTTTATTATGAATAGATTCTCATTCTTTTTATTTGCTATTTATTGGTATCTTTTTTTTTTTAAAGATTTTATTTATTTATTTGACAGATAGAGAG